GCGCTGATTCAAAGAGACAGGCTGTCAAGTCCAATTGAGCGGCTGCCTGGGCGAGCGAGCGACCGAGCAGCAGCAGCAGCAGCAGCAGCAGCAGGGATGGAGGGAAGGAGGAAGAGCCCCACCACTGGCAGCAGGGTGTGTGTGTGTGTGTGTTTGTGTGTGTGTGCGTGCGTGTGTGTGTGGACGGGAAGGGAAAGGGAAGCGGAGCTGCCTCAGCAGCCGGACGGTCGCAGCGCTCCGCCTTGCTCTCTCTCTCGAACCCACCTCCCCTCTGCTGGTTCACACGCTCCAGAGCATCAGCTTGCAGGAGACAGCTGTGCAGGGTGTTGGGTGTGTGTGCACACAGACAGACATTTTACAGCCGCTGTGCAGATGAGCGGGGGGGGGAGTGTGTGCTGTGGAGGCAGCCGGGCAAAGGGAGCCCCACTCCCCACCACCTGGCTGCAAAGCACCCGTCCTGGATCTGAAGATGGGGCAGGGGAGAGCCGGCCTCTCCTCTCCCTTCTCTGCTCCCGGAAGAGGACGGCCGCCCTCCCCCACCGCGGGATCGGGACCCCCAAGGGGCTTCTTCAGGCCGGCACCCCACCTCCAGAGGCCCCCCCCCGGAAGCCCACAGAATGGACCGTAGGCGGCAGAATGGATCTGCCCGGCGAGCCTGGTGATTTGTGGGGACTCTTCCCCCCCCCGAAGCACCCCATGAAAAGCCGGCAACCCCCGAGGGCTTGCCGGCTGCCAGGAAACCAAGCCAGCCGGAAGGGTCTCCCCCACCCCCCCACCCAGCCTGCTGGAAGCCTGTGCCTGCCGTGGCTTCCTTGGTTTGACAGGCCCCACGTGGCCTCCCCAGGTGGGGTGGGGGGTGGGGGGTTGCCCTCGCCCTCCTGCCACCGGAAGGGCCCGCTCAGGAGGGCAGGCACCCCCTTCGCTCAGCATCTCTGTCCCCGCGCCACAAACGAGGGATGACACGCTGGCTCCCCGAGAGGCACCAAGCGGCCTTTGATTTAATTAATGGAAGGATTAAGTCAAACGGTGCTGAGAGCCCTCGGGAGCGGTGCAGTCTCGGCAAACGCCTGCCTTGCTTCGCCTCCTGCTGCCGAGCGGCAGCCTCCGGGAAGTCTTGGGGGGGCAGCAAGTGGAGGGGGTGACCCGGCGGCTCCTGGGAAGCCCCTCCCTGCTTGACTGGCCCTCCTGGCACACGGGCTTGGGGGGGTGGGAGAGGCGCCTCCTTTGCAGTGCCAGAGCCAGGCTGCTGAAGGGACCAACCCAGAGAGGCCATAGGGACACGTCGCCCCCTCCCCACACCGTCTGTCCGGCCACCCACTCCGCCGGCTCCCTGGGACCAGCAGGGGGAACCCCCACCTCCCTGATGGCCGCGCGGGTTGGGTCCTCCTGCCACAGGCTTGTGTTCATTCAACCTCCCCCCCCCCATTGTGCACCTCCATCCTTGGCTCTGGCGAAGGGTTCCTGCATACACGTGGGTGTTGTGTGTGTGTGTGTGTATGTACGTGTGTGGGCAAGGAGAGGCTTTGGGGGATGGGGTAGGGTAGGGTAGGGGGCAACTCCCTCCCTCCCTCCCCCCTGCATCCTGTGGAAGTCGCTCAGGGTCCTCAGGCCAACCCATGCACTAGGGAATCCCGCAAGACCTCTTCCCCGCAGCCACTAGGGTGGAGGCTGGCTGCGGCTTGGCTGACTTGCCCGAGTGACCAGAGGCTGCCCGTTCTGCTGGATTTTTTCCAAGGTGGAAGGCTGAGATTTACGGGGAGCCGCCCACAGCCTCTTTGCTGACCCGCCCTCCTCTACCCACCTGGGCGCCATGGCTCGGCCTGTTTCCTGGGCCCTCAAGGCCCACATCCTCAGCCACCCGCCACCCACCTCTCTCCAGGCCACGCAAAGCTCCCGTTCAGGCCACGCACCGGAACAGCCTGCCACCTGGGGCAGAGGTGGATCTGGGTGGGGGTGGCAGGACCAAGATGGAGCAGGGGGCGCCCAGAGGGGATCCCCAGGGGTGGAGAAACGGCAGCTGACCCACCCCTGCTGGGCCAAGGGGCTGCAGGAAAGGGTTAGGGGGGTGTTTACCGCCTGCCCGCCATGGCTTCCCTTCCCTTTTCTGGCCGAGAATTGGGCCGGCCCTCCAAGGGAGGAGGAGAGCCAAGGGGTCAGGCCGAAGGTGAGGTGGGGGGCCGAGGGGGAGGCTCCCACAGCAGCTGACCGGGCTTTGCCCTCATGCACCTGCGCCCACAGAGCCCCTCCATGGAGGTGGGAGTGCCCCCTCC